CGCTTGCGAATCAAAATGCAGATTGCAGATGCGTTGTCACCCGTGAGGACTAAGATGGAATGCCTCATTTCCAGTAAAAAGGGCCTCCGGCCACCTGCACTCACCAAGCGAAACACAGAGGTAAACCTCTACTTCACGCTGGTATTCTGTGAGGTCGTGGTACCACCCCGGTTCAAGCCGGCCCATCCGTGCGATAGCAAAAGCTGCCGCGTGGCTCTACCACTGTTAAAATGTATGTTAATTCAGAAAAAAATTGTTAAAATAGGAATAAAATTAAAAAACTATAATATTCTACATTTAAATGACTATTTCACGTTATATATCCATCTTCATTGAATTAGTGTCGCAGTGTAGTGTGTGATTTAAACCGAATGAATCAAATATTATCCGTTAATTATGCCTCTCCGCTTTCGCTCCGAGGTAAAACAATACAATAAGTCCTGACTACTTTATAACCATTCCTGTTTTAAGAACATACAAATAAATTTAATTGTTCAATAGAGACTTTACTGGCAAATAACATTTAACAGCGTAACAAGATGAAGAGCTTAACTTAATTCTGCGAAAACAGGTCTGTTTATAAAAGTTTATTGAAGCTTCCATATTCATGAACGTCAAAATTTATTTAACACTGCTTAAGGCAATTTAAACATGTAAAAATTTCTAAAAGGATGAATCAATTTAAAATTTTAAATACAATATTTATAAATAAGAGAACACACACGCACATCTGCGTACACAGTACGCCTTGCTCTATTACGCTATTAAAGTTTCCGTTGTCTAGCGTAATTTCATAACAGGGAACGTTGGCCGCTCCCCGAGGCATAACATCGTGCCGGGCAGGAGATCTCCATTTTCTTTCGCCAAATTTTTCATTATTTAAACTGTTTATCCGACCATTATATTGATTTGTTCATTCATTCGAATAACAATAATTATTGTAGAACAAAATCAAAGAAAAATCCAATAAATCGGGACAATAGGTTGGTTTAAATGGTAACCATTGTTTACGATTTATTGGAAATCCGAACTGCGAAAAACAATAAAGCGTTTGAAATACCGGTTAGACTTTAGTTTTATTAAATCCCAATGAATACTTATTCACTTTCAATTCTTTTCTATCTCACAACAGTCAACAAGTTGCACGAAATACATAATGTTAAGATGTTTTTATGAATTCGGAACATAATAGTTGGAATAGTACTAGTATAAGTATGCTGTTTATTAGCTTGCTTTTGAGCAATATAAAAAGGAAATAACGTCTGCCATGTATGTAAGAGGCAAAAGCCCGAGCCTATTTTGTTCGAGATTCTGAAAAATAGTGTTTGAAATCGTTTTTGGAATTAATACATACTCCTTAGAAAATTGTATTAATTAAGTAAATTCAAAGGCATTTCGTACTGCCACTCGATTCTTGTACTTTTTTCCCGCCAAAAAGTTATCCAAATTCAAGAAAAGTAGAAGTCTGTAAGGGCAAGGTCGGGTGAGTTACCCGGATGACGAAAAGTTTCCAACTCCAGCTTTTGTAACTTGGAGACCGTCTGTTGTGCAGAATGAGGTCACGCGTCAGGAGCAGCGGGGACAAGCGATTAACCAAAGCTGGTTAGAGACGTGCGATATTCTCCATAATTGTATTTAGTTCATGACAGTACGCATCTGCAGTAATGCTTATCCCGTTTGGTAAGAAGCTTTGTTAAATCACACCAGAGCTAGATCACCAAACAGTAACCATCACTTTTTTAAGGGTAAGTTTTCGTTTGGAGCATTGTTTAAGTGCTGAATCAGGATCAAACCAAGTTGCTGAGCGCTTGCGATTGCCAAACAGAATCCATTTTAAGTTGCAGGTAACAACGCGGTTCAGATTTCCTTTGTGTGCCTGTTGAGTAGTGCAAGGCACATCTCGACGCGTATTAAATTAAAATTAAAATTTAATTAAAAGGGTATGGAAAGCTTATTTTACGCCTATACTCGTATGAATAAACATAGTGGACTTGATGTGATAGTTGAAAAGTACTGGAAAAATATTTTTACTTTCTCTAATAACGAGATTAGGGTTGAAAATCCCATGTACAGAATCAAATTATTATACGTGGTAGAGCTATGCTGCAGCTATATTAGTAGTATAGTTGTAGCACGAATGGGTCGGCTCGACCGAGGAAGGACCACGCTCTCACAGAATACCAGCGTAAAATAGCAGCTTAACACTGCTGTGTTCCGTATGGTGAGTGTAGAGAACCGGATACCCTTTTTACTAGAAAAGAGGTATTCCATCTTAGTCCTCACGGGTGACAACGCATCTGCATTTTGATTCGCAAACGAGAATAAATGTAGATGTATATGGGCCACAGCAACCACTTACCATCAGGTAGACTGTGTGCTCGCTTGTCACCCTATCCCATAAAAAATTAGTACCTACTTATCTTCACGTATTTTAATACTAGAAAGCTGCATTTTCTAAAACAAACGTTAAATATTTAATTTAAAAATCTTCTACAAATAATGACATTTGTTGGAATCAAACTAAAAATAACTACATAACTATAAACTTCTACGTGACGTAATATAAATTGCTCAGTAGCTGGTAGTTCCACAATCTGTTCGGTCTGTTCTAAATTAGAAATAAAATTATGAGAAAGAAATTTACAATAATGAAGAGAAACATTGTATTTCTTAAATTAAATAGATTACTTTTACTTACATTGTTTATTTTTGAAAATTAAATATTTTTTTAATGCTAAAATATCTCGCATTTCCCCTTTAATCATAAGACCGCATGAAATATCGAATAAAACAAGTTCAAAAGAAAGTATCGCAAATTGTTAACGTTATAAAAGTAAATTCGATTGACGAAACGATTATAAATCTTTATACCGAATGCCACGCACCGTATGATTAATCATGCTTGTATCAAATGAAGGGGACTGAAAAAAGCTCTTTTAGATAAATTCGCTTCAATTCACATTATCAAACTCTTGTTCAAAGCCCTTTGGGACTTAATTTCAAATTAATATAATATTATCCATTGACCAACTCTCACAACTGTTTTCTTTTAATCACACATTTTGTGCAATTATATACATCTCTATATATAAAAATTGATTGCAGTCCGTTAGTCTCTAAATTTTTTGTGTCTTTGAGTAGGTTCCTGGATGGTTTAGATTCACAAATAGACCCGGAAGCGGGTGCTGTTGTCGAGATCCAGAAATCACCCATGCGAAGCCGGAGCGGATAGTCTCAAATAATAGTTAGTTTAGTACGTTATAATTTGTTAGTTTAGTTTACGACGGGCTGTTTTCAGCAACTCCACGTCTATGCGCATATTTTGTGTGTGGGCAGGAATAATGTGATTATTCGAGCCATGAGATCTCCCCGAAGAAGCTCAACAGCCCTTTGATGTTGCATGCAACTTCGGGGAGTGATCCCGGCGTGCCGAGATATTTAGCCCTGTACGTAGCGACCTCCGGACATTTCAGTAGCACGTGGGCCGCCGTTTCTTCCTCCCCCATACATGCCCTGCACAGGGGACTATCTGTAACACCTATAGTAAATAATAAATGTTTGTTAAAGGTGACGTGTTCTGTGATAGCACTTGTTACTATCCTGATCTGTGGGTTGTTCAGTCTCATTAAAACTTTGGTTAAGCGACTATTTATTTCAGGCAGGGCCTCCCTAGCTTGTCTGAAGTCTACTAGATTTTTCCAAAGCTGAGCGTGTTGATTAGTGAAGTGTCTACGTACCAGTGAACGAACGTTATCAAAGAGGATTGGTATGATTGGTTCCGGCCCTATAGTGGCCAGAGCCAATCTTCTTCTAGCCAGTTTGTCTGCTGCATCGTTGCCTCTGGATCCACTGTGTCCCTTTATCCATTGCAGAGTCTCATTGTTGTTTTTACATACCTCATTTAATCGTTGATGGCATTCATATATTAGTCCTGAGTTCACCAAATTGCAACTCAGAGCTTGTAGTACCGCCCTACTGTCGGTCAGTATTCTGATGGGGAAGTCATTAACCTTCCTAGCATCTATTGCTATGGCCGCTTGAATGATACCCATACATTCCGCCTGAAAGACTGTGTTATAGGTACCCAGCGGTGTGCATATGTGGATATTGAGATCTACAAAGAAAGTTCCAGAACCTACACCTTCATTTGTTTTAGAACCACCGGTGAAAACTAAGCTCTTTTGGGCTTAATCCTTCCAGCTGGATGGTTTCGTTTAATTGTATCTTGTACTTCTTATCGAATACAAATTGTTTAGGAATCTTATCGTACTTGGCTTGTAGGATAGGAATTTTTGAGTGAATTCTATCAATTATGCCTGTATGAGGGACACTATTCTTACTCCAAAGATTTAGGGTCTTGAGTCTGATTGCAGCTAAAGTCACTTCTTGTTGTATATGTAGATGAAGCGGGGTTAGCTCCAACATCGCTTCTAAGGCTGCTATTGGCGTAGTTCTTATGCAGCCTGTGGCAGCCATACATGCCAGTCTCCTGGTAGCGCTGAAGCTTTTTTATAGTGGTGGCTTCATTTGTCTTGGTCCACTATACCAGATCGCCGTATGTGATCATGGGCCGAATTACAGTTTTGTAAAGCCACAGTATGATTTTTGGCGTCAGTCCCCATTTTTTGTCTATCATGTTTCTGCATTGCCGGAAAGTTATACTAGCTTTGTTAATTTTGTTTCCTATGTGTTTATTCCAGTTAAGTTTAATGTCCAAGGTGAGACCTAAATATTTTACCTCAGAGGATAGCAGGAATTTTGTGCTGAAAAGACTTGGAAGATGATAGTTATTCAGCATTCGTTTTTGTGTGAACATTACTAGAACCATTTTATTTGGATTGACGGTTAAGTCGTATTCCCTGCACCATCTTCCCACTATACGGAGAGCCGCTTGGGTCAGGTCACACACTTCTTGCTGTCTTTCCAGAGACCAGTATTGTCAGGTCATCAGCATAACCTACTGCGTAGAAGTGATTGGCATTTAATTTGCTGATGAGTTTTCATTGATGACCATATTCCACAGAAAAGGTGAGAGAATCCAAATTAAGAAATGCCAAAAGCCATTTCTTAATTTGGATTGGTTGAGATTCACCAGCAATTTTTATTATTCGTGTACTGAGCATGTATACTATCCAGTCAATCGGTGCCGGTTCAACTTTATGTCTACTGAATGCACCTTTTATGCTGGAGAAGTTCATTCTGTCAAAAGCACCTTCTATATCTATGAAGGAACCTAGACACATTTCTTTGTTTTGGATGGCCCCTTCAATCTTTGTAATTACCTGGTGAAGTGCCGATTCTGTTGATTTACCTAGACTGTAGGTGTGTTGCTTGTCGTGTAGTGGTAAGTTCATAAGCGCCGACCCCCTTAATTCCCTTTCACACATCCTCTCCATCGTCTTTAGGAGAAAGGATGTGAGGCTAATGGGCCTGTAGGATTTAGGGTCAGTGTAGTCGCTCTTACCTGGATTGGGTATTAATGTGACTTTCACTTCCCTCCATCCCCTAGGAACATATTTAAGACCCAGACAGGCTCTCATTATGGCAACAAGTCTGACTATTAGGGCTTTAAACTCCCACTGTGCCGTCAGGTTCTGCCGCCTTATATGGGAGGAAACTGTGAATGGCCCAATGGATTTTGTCCATCGTTACCACTCTCTGTGCTAAATTCCAGTCTTCTGCTGTTGGTGTCAGTATTTCGTCATGCCGGTTTGCCTCCTGAGTTACGCAGCAACCTGGGAAGTGCGTTTTAATTAGGATGCGTTGGGTTTCATCCGGCGATGTTGAGTAGCTACCGTCGGGTTTTTTTAGAGAGATGGATCCCGACGTGTTCTTCTTAGCTAGAATATTCCTTATCCTATTTGCTTGTTCGCAGGTTTCTATGTTGCCACAGAATTTACGCCACCCACTCCAGCGTACCTGATACATTTTTTGTATTCAGATTTAGCTTTCTTGTATAGTAGCCAATCTTCATCCATTGAGGTATTCATGGCCCTATTTTGGGCTTTTGTTACTTTCTTACGTTTCCTATCTAGTTCTTTACCCAACCACGGTTGCTTTACCTCAGCATGCCTTGGTGGAGTGATTTCTGGACAAGATTCATGGTAGCTATCTATCATGGCCTTAGTAACAGCTGCTACCTGTTCTTCTAGGAGCGACTAATCTGCTATAGTATTTGTCTCCTCAAAACCCGCGAGCGAAGACGTCAGCCTTCGCTTCATATTGATATAAACATAGCATAGGATTCGGTACGACTAGAAATACAAGTCTCAATTTATCTTCATAGTTTATTTTTAAATACATTATGGAGTAGCACTAATTGTTAAAATGTTTAATAATAGCTAAGGGGGAAACGTTTGTAGAACGATTATGGTTCTATTTAAACTTGAATGCAGACTGCGCAGCATATGAATAAATATTAAATAATATTATGGCACCAGACAACTGAGTACTGACAAGCGCTTTGTAACTTAGGCAGACATATTCACAGCTGTGACATTTACACCGATCAACGTCGCACGAGTTAATTAAAGGTTTTAAACCCGAGTTCTATTAAAATAATATTTACAAAATAAATGGCAATATTTACTTAATATACTTTACACATAAGGTTTCAGATTTTGTTTTTAATTAAATTTAGACGCAGATGACACTGCACTGTGTGAAAGTTATACGCAAATTGTCTAAAATAAGCTTATCCAATCAAAGATCCAATCCAATTAAAGATATGAAAATTAATTAAGACCCATGTGAAAACAGATCTCGGTTTTACGAATGGAACGCTTTTCACGAAGTTTTGAGCTGTAAGGATTTGTAATCGTGACGGTTGGTTTGCGGATTTCAAATGGCATTTATTATTAAGATTTTGATAGCGCATAAAATTCTTTCTCGAATGTGGTCATAATATATTAAGACGTATATTCCACCATCAATAGAAGGCTTTTTGTAATAGCTGACAAAAACCTTTCTGAAATTTCTAAAGATACCAATGGCACTTTTGGCCGTTAGGCATTGATGGAAAGATTAGGCATGAATATAAAGACTTAAATTTATGAGTTGTCAAAAATTATATCCATAATTTAACTGATGATTTTTACTCTTAATTTAATCAAACAAAGGAAAGTCCCAAAACTATTGTTTTCGTCTATAGATATCTTTTTTATATAAGACGGGGCAAACGACAATGCGGCTCACCTGTTGGTAAGAGACTTCCGCCACTCATGAACAACCGCAAATCTTTTCTTAAGGGTCTCTAAGTTGTGTCGGTTCGGGGAAATCGCTAGTGGTATCCGAATTCACAAAAAGTTGTGCAAGGGAAAACACTGCTGGTAAATCGCTCAGTAGTGGACCGCTAATTAACCAGATGATATGGATGGTATGGCGAATTTCATCGCGATTTGCGATGATGAACTTAGTGGCTGGATTTAGTCCGAACAATTTCTCGGAGCACTCCCCATTGTAGTCATTGTCTCACTCCACTAAGCACGCCAAGCTTTTTAGAGGCCAATTTGGTCCTCCCTGCCAGGTAAATGCTTAACTGAACGTCATTCGATATAACAAAGCCAAGAATTCTGATGCTGGCTGAGGCAACAAGGGGAGTGCCCTAAAATTGAGGAGATATGACAGAGAGATATGAGAGAAGAAAGGGTTCTTCTTATCGGTAAACGCAGAAACCTGCAACTTCTAGACTGAAACGGATTAAATTTAGTCGCCCCCGATCCGAGACTTTATTTAACAAAGATTCGACTTCAGACACAAGTTTGATCCGACACTCAACGACGTGTACCCGATAAAGATTTTGACGGCGGTAGAGCCACGCGGCAGTTTTTGCTTTTGCACATATGGCCCGGCTCGAGCCGGGTTGGTCCAATCCCCCACCCCCCATCAACATTGTAGCGGAATTACATCAAAGACTACCACAGGAGGGTACCAGCATCTCTAGAGAATCCGTCGCTGGGCGTCCACGACCATGTTACTCCACTACTGAGCGTGGGTGCTCAGGCTGCCCCACGTATTCTGGGGGGGTGGGGGTCTGATACTTCGTATCTCTTCTACCCAGGGAGTTTGCATATAAGTCAGAGAGGACATTTTTGTTCTCGATGCCTCGGCAGTCTGGACGGTTCGGACCTGTCCATCCTTTGGCTACGCGTAGACAGCGACGACCATCCGCGCGTCTACGGGTGCCTCTATAGGTCCCATAGCGGTAATGCCGAAACAGACCGACTCATTGACCACGTCCATCACAGGTAGGATGACTCACTGGCCCACGCCGCAAAAGAGAAAGCCGACCTTTAGGCTCCCTTTTTGCGTCCAACTCGACTCTTGATGACGGGGGGAACACACCGCTGACCATCCCGCGGTGCGAGTACTCCATGCAAGAAGTGCTGTTTACACAGCGCTCGGTGCGTAAAGCATATCTCTCCCTAGACGTCAACAAGTCTAGTGGGCCGGATGGAGTCCCACCTATTGTGCTGAAGACGTGTGCTCCGGAGTTACACCGGTTCTAACGCGTCTTTTCCGGTACTCCTACTCCCTAGGCGTAGTCCCGAAATCTTGGAAGACAGCTATTGTTCTTTGTTATCCAAAATAATGGAATGCATTATAAACTGCCAGCTCATGCGGTACCTTGAGGATCACCAGCTGATTAGTGACCGCCAATACGGTTTTCGTCTAGTTCGATCATTTGGTGATCGTCTGGTCTACCTGACTCATAGATGGGCGGAGGCAGTAGAGTCCAAGGGTAGGCGTTGGCCGTTAGTTTGGACATTGCGAAGGCCTTCGGTCGGGTTTGGCACAAAGCGCTTCTTTCGAAGCTCCCTTCCTGTGGGCTTCTCGAGAAATTGTGCAGTTGGATCACCAGCTTTCTTGCAGTTCGGAGCATCAAGGTCGTTGTAGACGGTGCATGCTCCGACTACAAGCCTATTAATGCTGGTGTTCCACAAGGCTGTGTGCCATCACAAACGCTGTTTCTTCTGCATATCAATGATATGTTGCACACTGGTAACATTCATTGCTATGCGTATGGCAGCACTGGTGATGCTCTATACACCGGCCGTGCCAATATTTCTCGGGAAAACGTCACCGAGTACCAGAACATACTTATCTTTGAAGTCGAGTCTTTGCTGCATAAAGTCTCGGATTGGAGTCGACTAAATCTAGTCCAGTTCAATCCTCAGAAGACACAAGTTTGCGCGTTTACCGCTAAAAAGAACCCCTTTGTCGTATCTCCTCAATTTCAAGGCACTCCCCTTGTTGCCTCAGCCAGTATCGGAATCCTCGGCGTCGACATATCGAGTGACGTGCAGTTTCGTGGTAACTTGGAAGAGAAGGCCAAATTGGCCTTTAAAAAGCTTGGCGTGCTCAGCAGAGCGGGACAGTATTTCATGCCGGGCCACTGCCTGGAACTATACAAGGCGCAGGTTCGGCCTCACATGGAATACTGTTCCCATCTCTGGGCCGGGGCACCCCAGTGCCAGCTCCTTCCACTTGACCGCATCCAGCGCAGAGTGGGTCTAATCATCGACGACCGAGTCCTTTCCGATCGGCTCGATTCATTGGCGCTGCGAAGAGATGTTGCATCACTTTGCATTTTCTTTCGCATTTACCACGGGGAGTGCTCTGAGGAATTGTTCGGATTAATCCCAGCCGCCAAATTTCACAAATGCACATCCCGGCAGAACTCTTGATACCATCCACAGCATCTGGATGAATGGCGGTCCACCACTGTGCGATTTAAAATGTTTTCTTCCTCGCACAACTTACTTGTGAAATCGATTACTATCAGCGATTTTTCCGGACCGATACGAAATAGGAACCTTCAAGAAAAGAGCCTTCTCCTTTTTAAAAAGCCGGCAACGCAATCTGCAATTCCCCTTGTTCCCCTGGTGTTGCAGTTGTTCATGAGCGGCGGTAGTCACTTACCATCAGGTGAGCCGCATGCTCGTTTGCCCCCTCTCCTATAAAAAAAGAAAAAAAACTATAGGTAAATCCAATTGTGCATGCCTTAAACTCATTCAAAAATTACGTATAACATGATTATACGTAAATTCTTTAAAGTAGTTTAAATACACACAAGTTTTCACTAGTAACCTTATTATTATACTTCCAATTTTCCAATAATTTTATGTTTAACTTCATTTAAAAAAAAAGTTTAGAAAATTCAAATGTGCACGACTCATAATGCTCATATGATCATCATATCATCATTCAGGTCACTCCATGAAATCCAAGACTTTTTTAAGTATATTTATATATAAATCCTACTTACTTTTACAACGTAGTACTATTATTTATTCTGTACTTTTAAAATATTGTAATAAAAATCTGTGATTATAATAACAATCAAGTATATATCAAATATGGTTTTTCGAATATTTTGTATTTGTACAGCGATCTTTTTGAGCACGAGCCGCTGCAAACAACATCCACTATCCACTCACGACGGCGGCAGCAGTGAGTGAGTGAGGCAGTCTATTTAGTAAAATAAATTATTACAAGTCTGCTCAAAACACTGAAAATTACGGAATTTATCAACCGAAAA